TTTTCCTTTATGATTTCTCCTGTTTGACATGTAATACACTGCATTGTATTTTTAAATGTTTTTCTCAATCCGAATAAATTACCATTATGAATTGATTCCATTTCCTCAAAAACAAGCATTCCTTTTTACATAGAGCACCTGAGAATACCTATTAAAATCAAACAACTAATATTTCAGTTCCACATCTTCTCTTCTGGGTTGAAAAGGCAAAAAGAACTCAACAAGACTCCTAGAGAAGTGGAAATGAATCAAGGGGACTGTGGAGAAGAGGGGGAAGGGGATTTATTTGGGTGAATTTATCTTACACTATAAGATAAATATCCATAATATTTTTGAAGCTGCCCCTTTAACATTTAGCTGTTTCAGTAATGTTTACAAGATATCTTTTCAGGAATTATCCTATCATGTATGTATGTACATATACATGTGTATGTATTTTATATGTGTGATTTAGAGAAAACATGGTCAAATATGCATAAATCTATATATAGGAATATATCTATATATATCTATATCTATCTATATCTATCTATCTATCTATCTATCTATCTATCTATCTATATATCTATATCTATATATCTGATATGTATTTAAATGCAGTCAATGTATCCCCATGAACATTTTTATTATATATTTCAGTAATATGAATTCTTTGCAATACTGTCTTAATATGATGGTATTGCCATTTTATTCCTTTTGGCTAGATTTAAAAACAAAGTGTGATAGAATCTCAAGACAGTTCTCTACAAAGGAGTCAACAGAACAATTTGACTAGAAAGGATCAATTCAACTAATGATTGACATTTATTGATGCAAAAGTGTCCTCAATACTGGGCATAGAAACTCAGCAGGAATCTACAGAAATTTTAAAAGGATTTTAAAATACTTTTTTTTAAAATAACATGTTTTCCCACAGACTTGCTCTTTTGTTCCTGTCCATTTAAAATTTAAACAACATGTTATTCATTAACTCACTGGGAAGAGGGTGACACAGACTTCACAAATTCATATTTTGTTTATTTTTTTTCAAAGTGTTTCATATTAGTATGTTTGCAGCATATAAAGGTTACATTTATCATGGGAAATCTGTATCTGTACATAGCACATTTTAAATATTTTTTGCCCCTGCTTCTCCCATTGATCAACCTTCTGTTCAGTTCTTAATTAACTTCTGATTTTTAGTTTTTGCTTTTTGAGACAGTGTCTCATGCAGCTCAGGATGTGCTTAACTCATTCTGGAGCACAGGTTAGCCTCAAATTTGCTGGGGCCCTCTTGCTTCAGGTTCCAGAGGCTACAACTAGAGGAGTGCACCACCCTGCCCTGTTTAATCTTCCCATTTGATAAAGCCCTATTTCCAGCATTTAATTTCTTTTTAGAATCTTTTTTCCCTTCCTTTCCTCCTAGCCTTTATCACTTGTTCCCTAATAATCATTTAAAGCAGTCCTTGAGCCAGCTGACAGGCCACACGCCTGCACCCTCACTCTGGGAACATAGGCAGGAGCATAGAAAATTCAAGCAAGCTAGAGAGCAAGCCAGAGAGTCACTGACCCTGTTGAAAATAAACAAAAGAACTCTAAAACTGCTAGGGTTGTAACTCATTGCAATTGCCCTGAATTTGCAATACAACAATCAACAATAAACAGAGATAACTGAATGACCACAAATGGCATTAGAACTATGAATCCAGTTTTAAATGAGGCCATCTTTGGTAATTTTTAGTAACTTCCACTCAGATGTCAGGAGAGGGAAATACACTCCAACGTGTATATACATGTAGAAAAGGAAACAGAGGCACAGTGTCCCCGGAGCCCAGCCTGTTTGGGACTCTCACACCGTCTAGGTGCAGAGTAAGGGCTGGGCAGATCTGGAGCGCCTGCATTAGCCTTCCCGTGTGTCTGGAGGACTGTGGAATTCTAAGCAAGCAAGCGAGCATCACCAGTTCCATAGGCCCCATGGCCTGTGGTAAGTGCCCAGGGCACTCTGTCCCAAGCCCAGCCTGTTCGAGACCCTCGAGCCTTCCTGGTGCAGAGAAGTGGCTAAGTAGGTCTGAGATGCCTACATCCACCTCCCCATTTGGCTGCGCTCGGAGAATTGTGGAGTTCCAAGCAAGCAGGTGGGCGCAAACTGTTCCTGGAGCCCAGCCTATCTGGAACTACAGAGTTCTAAGCAGGCAGAAGACTGCCAATGGTTCCAGAGGTCCAGTGGCCTGGGAGAACTGGGTGCCAGCATGCCAGGAGCTGCGAACACAGAAGTGGATTTCCAACAGACCCTGAGGAAGCTTTTGAATAACACTTGAAACACAGAAATATAGGCAAATGACAAAATGAAAAACCAAATTACAACCTCAAACCTCCAGCCCATCTCAAGAAACCTGGGGAGCAATGTATATAGAAGAAAATATATGAAATACACCTCAAATATTGGACATAATAGCTACTGAAACAAACAAGCAACTCCAGGAAGCTTTAAATGAAATAAAAATCAAAATAATCTCCCAGGTAAAAGAAGAAATGAAAAAAGAAATTAAAGAGATTATGTATATATCTAAAGAAAACACAGTTTAAAAATTGGATGAGCTAAACAAAAAGATAGAATCCCTAGATGAGCAATATAAAAAACAAGAAAATACATAAAGCAGATGCACAGAGATATACAGGAAATCAAAAATTCCACTGAAAGCTGTAAAAACCGCCTCAATCAAAGTGAAGGTAGAATTTCAGGCCTTGAGGACAGGATTGCAGCCAGTGAAAAGGAAAGGAAAGATCTTATAAAAGTAACAAGGAACCAGGAAATAACAATTCAACAATTGCAAGATGACACAAAGAAAAACAACATAAGATTGATAGGGATTAATGAAAAAGAAGGGGACAACATAAAGGACGTCAAGAGGATATTTAGAGAAGTAATAGCTGAAAATTTCCCAAGCATGAGATCAGAAACCGACATCAGATTCAGTGAAGCCTATAGAACCCCAAATGATCATAACCAAAATAAAACTACACCCAGACATATAATAATCACCATCCCTGAAATCCAACACAAGAATAGATTATTAAAAGCTGTCAGAGAGAAAAGACAGGTCACTTATAAAGGAAAACCTATCGGAATTACAGCAGACTTCTCAGCACAAACAATAAAGTCAAGAAGAGCATGGAGTGAAGTATTCCAGATCCTAAAGCAAAATGATTTCCAACCTAGACTGATGTACCCTGAAAAACTATCATTCAAAATCTATAGTGAAATATGATACTTCCATGACAAAGAACAGCTGAAGAACTTCATGAACACCAAGCCAACGCTGCAAAAAATTGAGAGACAGTTTAGATACACAAAGGAAAAAACCACTAAGCAAAGCAGATAATTAAACAGAACAGAAAGATAAAGATGTAACAGCAGAAAGATAACATGTCAACAATAAACCAGCATATAACTGCTATAACCATTAATGTAAATGGCCTCAATGCACCAATCAAAAGAAACAGACTGGTAAAATGGATCAAGAAACAAAATCCAACCATATGCTTTTTACAAGAAACCCATCTAACCCAGAAGGATACTCAAAGACTGAAAGTCAAAGGATGCAAAACAATACTTCATGCAACAGGAATCCAGAAAAAAGCAGGAGTAGCCATTCTGTTTGCAGACAACATGAACTTTAAACAAACAATGATCAGAAAGGACAAAGAAGGTCACTACATACTCATTAGGGGAAAACTCCAAGAGGAAGAGACAACTACCTTAAATATATATGTACCAAACTCCAGAGCATCCAGTTGTATAAAACAACTATTAACATAAATGAAAAAACAAATTATCAGTAACACAATTGTAACAGGAGACCTTAACACAGAATTGACACCAAGGGACAGATCAACCAGACAGAAAATGAGCAAAGAAATAACAACTGAATCACACATGTGAACAAATGGTCTTAATAGACATATACAGAATGTTCCACCCAACAACATCAGAATACACATTCTTCTCAGCTAGACATGGGTCATTCTCTAAAACAGACCATATAATCGCTCAGAGAACACATTCAAACAAATGCAAAAGAGTTGAAATTATCCCTTGCATGTTATTGGATCATAGCGCTTTGCAATTAGAAATTAATGATAAAAGATAATGCAAAAATCCCAAAAACACATGGAAACTGAATAACACGCTCTTGAGTAACCAGTGGGTTACAGAGGAAATTAAAGAATAAATTAAACAATACCTACAAGAAAATAAAAATACAGATACAACTAATGGGAATCTGTGGGATGCAATGAAAGCCGTCCTCAGAAGAAAATTCATTGCACTGAGTTCACACATCAAGAGAACGAATACAAATAAATAACATGATGCTACACCTCAAAAAGCTAGAAAAAGAAGAGCAAGTCAAGCCCAAAACCAAAATAAGAGAGGAAATTATAAAAATCAGAGCAGAGATCAATGCAATAGAAACTAAGAAAACAATCCAAAGAGGCAACAAATTAAAGAATTGGTTCTTTGAAAGAATAAGGAAAATCGATAAGCCCCTAGTCAACCTTATTTAAAAAAAGGGAAGAAAAAGCTCAAATTCATGCAATAAGAAATGAAAAAGGTGAAATCACTACAGACTCTACAGAAATACAGAAGATCATCAACACCTATTTTGAAAACCTCTATTCTCAAAGATTTGATAACACAGAAGAAATAGATTCCTAGAAACATATGAAGTACCAAAGTTAGAACAAGAGGATGTAAACCTGCTGAATAACCCAATCTCTATTAATGAAATTCAAAATGTAATTAAGTCCTTACTTACAAAGAAGAGCCAAGGCCCAGACGGATTCACTGCAGAATTCTACAAGAAATACAAAGAAGACCTAATGCTGACACTCCTCAAACTACTCAATGAAATTGAAAGGGAAGTAATCCTTCCTAAGTCATTCCTGGAAGCAAATATTATCTTAGTACCAAAACCTGAGAAAGATCCAACTAAAAAGTGAACTATAGACCAATCTCCCTAATGAACACAGATGCAAAAATTCTCAATGAAATATTGACAAATAGGATGCAGCAATTCATCAAGAAGATAATACACCATGACCAAATGAGATTAATCCAAGGCATGCAGGGTTGATTCAACATAAGTAAATCAATAAATGTAATCCACCATATCAATAAAGCCAAAAGTAAGAATCACATGATCATTTCTATAGATGCAGAAAAAGCCTTCAATAAAGTCCAACATTCATTCATGATGAGAATTTTACAAAAAATTGGAATAGATGGTTTTTAACTCAAGGCCTCATAAAGGCCATCTATGACAAACCAACATTCAGTATCATACTAAATGGCCCAAAATTGAAAGCCTTTACTTTAAAATCAAGCACAAGACAAGGATGTCCTTTATCACCACTCCTTTTAATATAGTGCTGGAAGTACTAGCCAGAGCAATTAGACAAGAGAAAGAAATAAAACGGGTAAAGATAGGAAAAGAAGAAGCTAAATTATCATTGTTTGCAGATGACATGATATTCTACATAGAAGACCCCTAAACTACATTGAAAGACTCTTAGATACGATAAATAAATTCAGTAATGCAGCTGGATACAAAATAAATACTCAGAAATCAATAGCATTACTATACACTAACAACAAAAACACAGAGAGAGAAATAAGAGAAGCCACACTCTTCACACTCTTCACACTAGCAAGCAAAAAAAATGAAATATTTAGGAATTACTCTTACAAAAGAAGTGAAAGACCTATATAGGGAAAATTATAATACACTGAAAAAAGAAATTGAAGATGATCTCAGAAAATGGAAAGACATCCCTTGCTCATGGATAGGAAGAACAAACAGTGTGAAAAATTGCCATTATCCCAAAACTGTTATACAGATTCAATGCAATCCCAATAAAAATATCATCAACATACCTTATAGATCTAGAGAAATCAATCTTAAAATTCATCTGGAAGCAGAAGAGACCTGGAATAGCAAAGGCAATTCTAAGCAGCAAAGACAAGACAGGAGGCATCACAATCCCTGACTTGAAGTTATACTACAAAGCAACAGTAGTAAAATCAACATGGCACTGGAATCAAAACAGAGCTGAAGATCAATGGAATAAATTAGCAGATACAATCAAAACTACAAATACACTCAACCACCTTATCTTTGATAAAGGAGCCAATCAGGTTCACTGGAAGAACGACAGTCTCTTTAATAAATGGTGTTGGAATAACTGGCTCTCCATTTGCCGAAAACTAAAACTAGACCCATGCCTATCAACATGTACTAAACTAAAATCTAAATGGATCAGAGATCTGAATATTAAAAGAGAAACCCTAAATCCATTAGAGGACAAATTGGGTAGAAACCTTGAAGACACAGAGGTGTGTAGAGAATTCATGAACAGGACTCAAACTGCACGGGAAATACTTCCCAGAATCAATAACTGGGACCATCTCTTACTAAAAAAGTTTCTGCATGTCAAAAGAAATCTTCAGCATAGTGAAAAGAAAACCCACAAACTGGGAAAAGATCTTAGTGAACTCCCCCTCAGACAAGGGACTTTTGTCTAAAATATATAAAGAATAAAAAAACTCAGACCCCCCAAATTCAAAGATCCAATCCAAAAATGGGCATCTGAGATGAATACGCACTTCTCAGATGAAGAAATACAAAAGGCAAATAAACACATGAGAAAATGTTCAGCATCATTGGTCATTAGAGAAATGCAAATTAAAACCACACTGAGATTCCATCTCACTCCTGAAAGAATGGCCAGGATCAAGAAAACCGACAACAAATGCTGGAGAGGCTGTGGGGAAAAAGGAACTCGCCTACAATGTTGGTGGAAGTGTAGACTGGTACAACCTTGGTGGAGGTCAGTCTGGAGATTTCTCAAAAACCTGGGATTAGAAGTCCCATTTGTTCCAGCTATTCCACTTCTAGGCATATTCCCAGAAGAACTGAAAGCATCATACCACAGAGATATATGTGCACCTATGTTTATAGCAGCACAATTTGTAATCACCAGATCTTGGGAACAAACCAAGAGTCCATCAACTGAGGATTGGATAAAAAAGTTATGGTATTTCTATACAATGGAATACTACTCAGCTATAAAGAAGCATCACATTGAGATATTTATCAATAAATGTGTGCAGCTTGAGACCATACTCATAAGTGAAATAAATTGATCTTGCATTTTGGAATACCGAATAATTTCCCTAATATAAGAAATGATTCAAATATATAAAAGTATGTGGTAATCATGATTCCCCATTATGTGGCCTTGAAGCCTTACAAAGTTTTAACTTACTAATTGGAATGGATTTATTGTGGGCTGCTTGATATTATGGCCTGTGATGAAATGAACAGCTATTTTGAAGAAAACAAGTCATCATAGTAGCTAGTGCTCATTTACTATCATCTTGTTTTGAAGCCCCACCAAACTATGGCTCTTCTGTCTCCATTGGTTTTATCATTATGTATCTTGCTGGATTTTATTATATGTGATAGTATAAACAAAAATTGTTATAGGCAAAGAGATAATACAGAAACCATTTTTCATTTTCTGTTTTCTGGTTCTAAATACCCTACAATGCTTTCATCCACTTGAATTGTTTTACACTGACTTGATATGTTTGATGCTATAGAATATGAAGCTATATTCAAGTATTTCAAGGAAAAAGACACTATGGTAACTACTGTTAAGTCACGTTATTTGGTGGTGAAGCACTAAGTTGCTGAAACAGTCAGGATTTGAGCTGCATTGTAATGTTGTTATGTGCTCTTTTATCTCAATCTCTCCCTTATTCATTAAAAATTTTATTTAATTATTTTTTATGATTTTTTAAACTAAGGGGAAAATTTTGAAAAATTAGCAGGATATATTATAGTAACTTTTTTGATTTCCTATTAACTTGATTTGAAGTCCTGTAATACTCCCACTATCTTGTTTTGACTGATTAGACTCTGTTCCGTTCTGTATGATAGTATCAAGTTTGAGGGTATATGCAACTACTTTGAAGCAATAAGATTTACTATGATGCCCATTCTGGGTTGACTATTATCTTCTTTTGAAGTCCTGTAATGTTTACAAGGTTTAGGTTTTATTGGTCTTGTTCTCTACTGTTTTGTTCAACTTTATAATACCTAATGAGATAGACAATTCTTTTTAAGGAAGCAAGAGGCATTATGGTAACCATTGTTGATAACCTTATACTCTGTTTTTACATCATGTGTTATGTCTATCCTTGGTTTTGACTGACAGCTTTGTTTTGCCATATTTGACTTTATTCTCTTCCAAAAAATAGTAAGAAGAACTATGGAGAAATAAAATCCAAAATGAGTAAATTTTGTTGTAAATAATAGAGGGAAAAATGGTGCTCTAAAGGATACAACTGCAAGTGTATTTAGGGGTGTTAAATAGATGACCATATTAATATTTTTGGTTGGATCATTGAACACACTGTTTGTAGTCTCATTGTTTGAATGTCCACTTTGTATGCTTTGATCCTGTGACTTGAGCAACTCTCTCTAAAATGATAATGTGTAATCTATTAATTGGTGATTTCTTACTGTTTTTTTTGTAGTTTTCTATTACTTGTACCCTTACACTGTTTTGTTTTTTCTATTTTTCATTTTAAATAAAAAATAAAAATAAATAAAAAGGAAATACATGGCTAAAGGGAAAGAAGTAAAGAAATACTAATCTCAAAAGTATTTCCATCATCTTAATCCAACTGGTCTAAATTTCATTCAATCCTTGAATCCCACCCTTCAATGACTAAATTGGTTTTTATGCCATTTCTCTTGTCTGAAATCATATTTGTCTCTGGGTAAATTAAAAATCCATAGATAATTGTTCAAAGTGTCTCTAGTAGCAAAAGTCTTTCTTCAGGTTCTCACATGTCTCAGGAATATCAAACTAACGTAACTGAACCTTATCACTCATTTTGAGGTGCCTCAAAATAAATCAGAAACTTCTGGAATCAATCACAAGTTCACCTTCCAGTCTATGAAGCTACGTGATCATCATGAAGAATATTTGACAAAAGCTCATATGTATTGTGGAGCCACAAAATCCCCATGAATCTCACTGTGACCACACTATTGGTCATCCTGGAGCTGGGAGGGCCGTGCTAACCTTACTGATCTTCAGATGCTAGGACAGCATTTCAGGCACATCACTGATACCCCAGTGGCAAGTACACCTGAGAGACTGCAGCACAGTCCCCAGAGGCTGATGTCATCCACGCTCAGCTGCATTCTATGCTGCCATGTGCTCCCATGGGGGCATTTGAAAGTTTTTCTTATTCTTTCTGCTTGTTCAAGGGACCTAAGCCATGATATTCAGAAATAATAGTGTTGGCATCCTTATCATAGCCAACAAGGGAACTCCATGCTTGCTTTCTAGAGATCTTATCTTTCACTCTAGTCTGGTGAGCCACGAGACTCCTTCGAGAGAGGTCCTCTTCCTCCCAGTCAGGCATCTACACAAACACCTGGGTTGCTCAGTGTCTTGATAGACACCAGAACCTGGGGTGTACATGCTATTCTGCACGGTCGCCAGGTCCACTTTGTAACTTTCAGGGACTTCAACAGAAACTCTAATGACTTTTACATTTATGGTTTACTTCATGGTCTCTTGACATGTTCACCTGCACCTGAATTTTAGAAAGTATTCTGGGCATCCATAGCAATTTCCAATACGGTCTCTTCCTTCTCTTTTCCTATTAATTATTCATTCTGTAATTAGGATCAAATTTTGGTGTCCAAGCCCTAAAATATATGACATTATTTGATTTTTACATGTTGAGCAGTTTTTGAATTCCAGAGTCATTAAAGTATATATGCATATTATTTTTAGTTTTCACCTATTTTAAAATTTAAATTTATTTCTAATGAATGTTTAAAATGTAAAGTTGTTCATGATTATGTAAAATTGTATGTAATATAGTATTGTATTTCAGTTTTTTACCCTGCTAAATCAGATTGATTTTTTTTTGTTGAGAATTGTAGCCTAAATGACTTGTAGCTTTATCAAAATCCAAAACATATGCTGTTGCTGAATTCTACATACTGTTCTATTGACCTCTCTGAGCGTTAACCAACCTTGCATAGTCCTGAGAATTATATCATTATACTAAGTTTTAAAACACTGTTGTTACTGATTTTCTTATTTTGGAAAATTACTCTGAATATCACTGATCCTTTGGCTATTGATACAAATTTGAGAGTCACTTTTCTCCTATAAAATGCCTTGCTTGGAATTTAATATAATTTTATGGATCAGTTTAAAGATGACGGGCCTGGTTACAGCCCAGCAGCGTAGTTCCTGTCTGGTAAGCCTGAGGTTAAAGAAAAGAAAACAGTAATAGACACCTTGACAAGATTGAAACTTTTAACCTATGAAAATTAGGTGTTTTTCAATCTCTAGGAGGTGTGGTACAACAAATTAAGGTTTACATCAGAAAATGTACTCCATAAAAGAAGGTATGGCCATTAATCTCCCTGAAAATACTTCCCCCGTAGTGCAAACACAACTGTGGCATCATTCTTGGAAGTTTCTTGATGCAGTTCTGGAATCCCTCTTCTGTGAGTAAATCTTCCTTTTTTTTTTTTTTTTTTCATTTTTATTGGTACCAGGGATCGAACTCACGACTGCCTGCTTTCAAGGCAGGCACTTATGCCGCTGAGCTAAATCCCCAGCCCCAAATCTTTCTTATTTTGAGATTATTTTTATTTTAAAAACAAAAAAGAATGAAAACGATGATACAGAATTTCAAAACAATAATAGATTATAGTGTTTAATATATTTAAGTAGTGTCATTGTTTCATGTCATACATATCTTGCATGTACTACATTATGGATTTATACCTATATTCCCATCTGTACCTAGATCCCCAATCTCCCAAACAAGTGCACAGAGAAGGCCCAGACAAATGAGACAAGAGGTACGTTCTTTAGGGCTCCATGAGGAACGAAACACTTGGTAGAGTGTTTAACTCTGGTGGCTGAGACTGTGTGTCTGGGAGGCCCATATTTATTTAGGATTCAAACAAGGAAGGGGTCAGAGTGAAAAACACAGGAAACCTGAGCAGGACTTTGGGAGGGGTTCAGGGACCCTCCAAGCAGCAGATGATGCTCATTAAGGAGAACTAGCCCAGCAGAAAGTCTCCTGGTGGCATCAGCTGTGGCCTATCTTGCCCCCTGAGGTATCTCCTTGTTCTCAGTTCAGACATGCCAGGCCATGTGACAGCCCTGCAAGGATATTCAGCTTCAACGGCTCCAAACCACCTAAAATTTCATTGTTTTGGTACTGTTCTAAAAGGTACTGCTTTATAGAATTTCAACTTTTCAGTTGTTCATTGTTAATAAAAAGAAATAATGTTGACTTTCCTATGGTTTTCTGTCTTCCACAAACTCATAGAGGAATTTGTCTTTGAAAGGCCCGAAGAGTTAGTACGTGTAAGAACTGATCCAAGCAGCTAATGCGGGAGTGGGGTCCTTGTAAGGGGACACATTTGTCCCTCTCTTGCTTCATTCTTGTCTCTTTGCCATTTTTTCATTTGCTCTCAGACTCTTTTATCTTTTCTGCCTTGAGATGTCAAATAGCACTACATTATGCTTCATGAAGGCCCTGGCCAGGTGCTGGTTTCTTTCTGTGGATAACTAAAGCTCCAGAAGAGAGAAACACTAGATTTCTATTTCTTAAAAATCACTCTTCTCTCCCACAGAAAAAATCACCTCACCTGTACGATTTGGTTTTTCCAACAAGAAATGGACTGAGGCAGCCTTGACATTCTGTGGCATTATAAATTTCTTTATAACTGCAGTGGAATCAGTTCTTCCACATATGAGCAGTCTTATGTGAGCAGTCTTCTCATACACTGAGAAAGTTATCTTGTTTCTTCCTTTGCACCACAGCTGTGATTTATTTTCTTTTTGCCATATCACCTTCTAGCCATGAAGGAATTATAATATGGAAAACCATGTCTTCTTTTCTCACTGTGTGGGGAAGATCACACACTTCTTGGTGTCTTCGAATCTTTATGTTCTTTCTCCCTTTGAAATACCTTAAAAATTATTTCTCTTGGTTCTCAGCACTCAGGAACTCACAGGATTTTCAAAGTGACAGAAGAGAGACTGAAAGGAAAAAGCAAAACATTTATCAAAATTTTCCTTCATGGGATCATAATTGATACTACTCTGTATTCATGAATCTATACATTACTTCCACAAAAAGATGCAAGGCTTTAAAGTATATAGTTGAGTCAGACTCAGTAATTAAAATTTGAAAGAGTAATTTGACAGAAGGTGAGCCAGAAAGGATGAGAACATAATTGCAGATCGTCTCCAGGTCAATGGTACAGCTTAGATGGCTCTCACTGCATAATAGTGTGAAAACAGCAAAGTGTGTAAGTGATGCACTGTGATTCCTGAATGTCCACCCGTTCTTGGGTAGTGAGTTTTTGGTCTCATTCTAGGGAACTGCATTTTGATTCTCAAATTTGGAACTTTTCTTTGGTGTGATACTACTGTGATGCTTTAAGCTAATATAAGCAATCTGATAACAGTTAAGGTGAACCCGCCCGGACTATGTTGTTTCATAGCAGAGCAGTATTTAATGTATTTTAATTTTAGGATATTTTCAATTTGTAAGAGCATCTGTACTCAAATTGATATTCATTATTTTACATATGTATGCATTTATTTTTATTATTTCTTTATCTTTTCATGTAACAGTCACAACAATCCCTATCATACAAATGGCAATCTGTGGCACAGACATGTTGCTACTTGTCCAAGATATTGTAATTTGAAAATGGGGTGCATGATTCCAACACAGAACTTCTATCTCTGTATTTCCAGATTGGCTATGAGAAATTTACAAATTTCTAACTACACCACTGAAGTGTTCCACTTAAGATCTCAGCAGGTCACTTGGCAGACATTTCCACTAAGTGTATAAAGGTCACAACTTTAGTATGGATGCAACACATTAAAAAAAAAACTTCCCCTGAAGAATCAAAACCTAAGGTGAACACTATTGCAGTTCTTCACAACTTCACATAAAAGAATAAGCAAGCCTATGTGTACACTGCATGGAAGATCACTATCAAAGACATGAGAACAAGGAACAATGAACTAAAATGATGAATTTCCTTTTGAGGTGATGCTGATGGGGAGATGAGAATTTAATTTTTTCTCTGCTGTGGGAGATGCACAGTCCCTGTAGAGAAAGGAAAGCCTGAGTGAAATATTGAGTATCTATGGAATTAATAAAGGTTGTGCGTAAGAAGCAAACACAATCCCCTCATTTCCTTTTTTATATCTAGAAGCTGTGTCCTAGGAAGAGACTGGAGAAGCTATTTTCTTGTTCATACACAAGCTCATTATGTCTTTATAATCATGTTAAATCTTCTGATATTTCATCTAGTGACAATTGTAGGAAGAAGGGATATTTATTTTTCTCCAAATCTGATGCTTCAGAGGAGATAACATTATCTTTATAAATTATGACTGCTACTTCAGAAGGAAATATAAGAAATTCAGCTTGTGTTGTATCTTATTAGAATCAATGGCAAAAATCCTATATTGTCCTTTAGAAGTTTTGAGTAAAATATGATAAGCAATCACTAAGGTTTCCTCTCTCAAGAATGGTAAGTTTGGAAATCACTTTGTATTAATGTCTTCCAAATTATTGAACACATTTACTGAGATATTTAAAATATGCAAAATGTATATATGAAATATTCCAGTTATTATTGTGGCATGTGCATTGTAAAATACTTTGAAAAGTGAGAGTAGGTAATATATTGGTCTTTACATAGTTACCATTTAAGTGTGTTATACACACATATATATAAAGGAGAAAATTTTTAAAAATTGTTTTTTGGTTCTGGGAATCAAACTCACTTATACTGAGCTAAATCCCTAGCTCCAAGAGTAGAAATTATGAAAATCTTTTTCGTTATCACAGAGTGAGTATAACAACCATTACTGTTAACTCTTAATATCATGTTATGTATTAGCTCTCCAAATCTGAATTAGGTTACATAATCGAATGTAGTAACTTTGGCCAAAATAGCCTAAATTTCACACTGGCTAATAACAATCAACATCCTACTGTATGATTATGTGAATGTACTGTTGTAGATTTACACATACATGTGAGATCTTACATTATTTCTCTTTTTGTCTCTTGCTTAAATTACTTACCATAGGTCTCACATTTTGAGCTGAAGTCCAGGAATCTGATATAGGTAATTTCTCCCACATTGTCTTCTATTCTAAAACTCAAGTAAAACTAGTAAAAGAACACCTTAGAAAAAGCAATAGATAATATTTTTAGCAATGTTGGACAGAGACGGCACAGTGTTTTAATCTGTAGTATGCTTTGTGTGGATAGATCTCTCTTCTGGACATGAGATTTCCTGTGCTATGGGACAGTCACTGAAGCATTGGTTCCTACAGTCTGGTTGCTGTGTTTAGATAAGAACAGTTTCCATGCTTCCAAAACACCAGAGAGTAATGTGCATTAAAATTTAATGCCAAGGTGAAAGACTTCTGCCTCCAATTTTACTAGTGGAAGAAATATCCAAACAATGAAGACAATAATAATGCTGTCCAGTAAATGCTGTCCAGCCTTGTGTTTTTCATTTTTTGTATAGCAGCTTTGTTTTAATATGGTAGCACTGGCCCTGGCTCTATTGGCTAAATTGAAGGTGCAGGTTTATATTGTTTTTATATAAATATGGTAAACTATAAAAGTTTACCATATTTAGATTTTAAGACTTCAATTAGGCGATGACAATGTCACTCAGCACCAGATAACTTTAGAGTCAAGCTCTGTGGCTTTAGGCTGGTTATGTCTGACATTTCTGGCTTGTGCCTCACATTTATGAAAGAAGGGATTGTAAGAGCACTTGTGTGGTGAGTGTAATTCTACTTTCCTGTGTCCATAGATTCTACAGAGAAGAATGGCCCCTGAAAATGGCTCTTATGTAACTGAATTCGTTCTGATGGGGTTAACAGACCAACCAGACCTCCAGCTCCCACTGTTCTTCCTGTTTCTAGTAATGTACATGGTCACTGTGTTAGGAAATTTAGGCTTAATAACTCTGATTGGGTTGAATTCACATCTTCACACTCCCATGTACTTTTTCCTCCTTAACTTGTCCTTCATTGACCTTCATTATTCTTCTGTGTTTACACCCAAAATGCTAATGAACTACTTATCACCGAAAAATGTTATCTCCTATAGAGGGTGTATGACCCAGTTCTACTTTTATTGTTTTTTCATTATTTCTGAAATCTATATGCTGACGTCAATGGCTTATGATCGCTATGCGGCCATCTGTAACCCACTTCTCTATAACACTGCCATGTCCCCCAGAGTGTGTCTCAGCCTTATGCTTGGCTCCTACCTGATGGCATTTTCTGGTGCCATGGCCCACACGGGATGCATGCTGAGGCTGACATTCTGTGACGCAAACACCATCAACCACTATTTCTGTGACATCCTCCCTTTGCTTGAGCTCTCCTGCACCAGCACCTATGTCAATGAGTTGGTGATATTCATTGTGGGGGGTATTAACATCATTTTGCCCAGCATCACCATCTTTTTGTCTTATGTGTTCATCCTCTCTAGTATATTAAAAATACGCTCCATGGAGGGCAGGTCGAAAGCTTTCAGCACCTGTGGTTCTCACATAATTGCAGTTTCTCTGTTTTTTGGATCATGTGCATTTATGTATCTGAAGCCGTCCTCTACTGGGTCTATGAATCAGGGAAAAATCTCCTCTGTCTTTTACACCAACGTGGTTCCTATGATGAACCCTGTAATCTATAGCTTGAGGAACAAAGATGTGAGAGTTGCTGTGAGAAAATGTTTGGGCAGAAGAGATTTTTGATCAGAACCATACTTTGTCTGTGCATGTGCTTACAGCACAGATAAATTCTAAGTTAATATAAAATGTATCTCTTCAAAACTTTATCATCATATTTTATTTAAGTTTGGGGAGCAATGCTTTTATGCTAAACCTTTTTATAATTATGTTTCCTTATTATTTATACCTTTCATTATTATTCCTGTTATGGTAACATGAAATGAAAATGACAAAGGGAATGAGGTTGATAATGCAATCCAGAAAGAGAACCAGAACTGATAGCAGAAGACTCACAACTAGCTATAGATTTTTTTCCTTCTTTATGTAATTATGGGATTTCATTTTCTTTCTTTCTTTTTTTTTTTTTTTTTTTTTGTTCTTGGGGTCAAGCTGACAACCTTGCACTTACCAGGCAGGCACTTGAGCCATGGACCTAAATCCTTGGTCCACTACACAATTTTAAATTATTGATCTTTCATAGTTTCACTGGCTCTTCTATGCATTAGATATAAATTGATAATGTAATGAACATTAGTTGTGCTTCACAAGATACTACGAATACAGCTGACTAAAGCGTATAATGCAGAGTGTTTAGTGCTGTGATATAATTTATGTATGGTAGACTTTTTGGAAAGATTTTCTTGTAAACTGCCAGCCCTTGAAAGATACATATTCTTGCTCAGTGTAAGACAGAATAGAGAACAGAGTGAGCATGTAGTACTCAGGTTTCATCACAAACTGACAAAAAAAAAATGTTAGCTTAGTGTCATTGTATTTCATCATGCACAGTCTTTTATTGTTTTTGAGGAAAGAATTCAAATTGAAAATGAAGGGAAAGAAGAGAAAAAATGGACAGAGAGGAAAGAAAGAAAAGAAAGAAGGGAGAAAGAATGAAAAGAAAAGAAAAGAAGAAACAGAAAGAAGAAAATAAAAAAATATACAGGACTTTTCTAAGAGTTCTTGGGTTAAAGTTTTGCTCAGGTGGACATTTGATGTCATTTTTGTGTTGCTGGTATAGATTGGAGGTGCTTAGCACAAGTTCACAACAGAATTTTCTTGAGTAGGAGAATTAGTTTCCAGAGTCTTTTAATTGACTACAGTGGAGCTTGGGATTGAATGATAGTGACAGACCAGGTACTAAAGAAACAAACTGTTAGCTAATAAGAGACTTCTGTTTGAAGAATGATCAGTGAAAATTAAAAAGCATTTTAGACTGTCCCCTGTCTTGCTCTGTAGAGTGCTCTAATTATCCTTCATTATTCATAAAGTGTGGACACTCATTTGACACAGAATTGTGCATTAATATTGTGCTGAGGAATGAACATGGCCATATTTGTGGGAAATCAGAAAGAGAAATGATAATTTTAAGAAATAAAATAGTGAATGTCAATTAAAATTCTAGTTGAAAGAAGAAATTTAAAAAGTCAAATAGTTGGAAAATAAGGCCTAAATTTTTCTTTTCTTTTTTGCGAAAGGCCATGGAAACATAAAAGTTACAGATTTCTCTGGAAGCAACACAGGCTTAGGCCTTTTGATTTTAAAGAAAGTTTAACCAGGCGGGCAGGAGGACTTGGGAACAACTAAATCTCTCTTGTTTTGGTTGATTTTCATATACTGTTACCTTTTGTAATAATGAATGAAAACCTGATATTTCAGCTGAGAGAGCAGTGAGAACTGGTGAAGTCCATTGGGTAAAGAAATAAATTGTAATAACTTATTTTAAAGAGTAGGTTGATGGATAATATTCCCTTGAATCTAGAGTCAATGACTATTCAACAATTCCTACGCTAATGCACAATGTGAAAATTTACATAATTTGTAAGATAATTGTAATAAGATATAGTCCTTTTCCTTTAAAAACAAAACCTGTCAACCCAGTGTTTGCGTGCTGAAAAATTTAACATCAGTGATTTGCTGGATTGTATGCTTTATATGCATAGATATGCTCAAATTTTCATTAAAGGCTTGAGATAACCATTCATTCCCTATCGATGGCTGCAATACCCACATATTTGTCATTTCTCCACAAGTTTTAACAATCTATAGTTGAATTTGAAAGATTTGCTTCAACTTCATTTGCAACTCCTTTGTTATAATCAATTTCCCTGTGTAATAAAAGCATGTTTAAATAAGATAATATTTTTTGTCACCTGGTATCCTTTGAAGGCATTGCAGAGATTGTCTATGCACCTCATATGTTTCATTAACACTTGAACTGACCAAACCTGTATTAAATCATATCATTGTCTTTCATTTGAAGTATCTCAAAACGAAAATTGTGTTCCATGTTTTAAAAGTTAAAATCCTTTAAAATTAAGCCCATTCTTTTATTTTCTGTAAAGTTAACTTCAAAACTTTAAATAACTTGTAAATGTGATAAGGTACATAAAGTCTCAGAAAAATCCTATAAATGGAAGTTCAGTTTGACCTGGATTCCTATTCTAGTCATCATTTCCAAAAAAATTCAGATTAGTTATACATGTGTACCCAAGTTTATGACAGCATGTCTGTCAGTAACCTAATCTTGGAGGTATTCTATATGTCCACTAACAGACGACTGCTTAATGAAGATGTATTTTATATATACAGTAGAGGATTGCCCTCATGCAGAAGAATAAATTTTTTAAAAAATGCACCTTGAAACCATAATATTAAGGGAAATAAATCGTACACGTTTTCTCTTATATAAGAAACACATAATGTAAATTATTTAAAGAGCAAATTTAAAGATAGACAACAGGAAACAGGGAGATAGGTCTTTTGCAAACAGGAAGGAGAATTAGAGATAGAGAGAGACGGAAATGAAGAAAGAGAAAGGAGAAGTACAGAGAACCATGATGTGTATTACACATGCACGAACTCCCCACCATGAATGAGATCACTGGGTACTGCAAATACGTGCTAATGGAAAGAACACTGTGGACACTGGAGCTTAGTGGGGCTTCCTGGTTGAAACTTGTGTGAGCAGTGGGCTGCACCATGATTCCACTAGAAAGAGACAGGAGCTCAGCTTCAGGACCCTCCCACAACTCGCCCCATCAGTCTCTTCATGTATGTCTTTCAATAAAATTGCCTCAGAAAAAACAAATGCAGTTAATGCTCTTAAAAGGATCATAGTGTTAGTTCTTCATGTTTCAAATTTTCATTTCTGTAATGATGAGTGATTTGAAGACATTTTTCTTTTTACACTGTATTTTAGAGCTGTTTTAGACCTACAGTGAATTTGATGAGATGGTGCACAGATTTCCCATATAACATCCTCCCTGTACACATGTAGAGACTTCTCTGTTACCAACATTTTCAATCAGAGTAACAAGCATTTTACAATGGATGAACTCATTTTGATGTATTACAGGAACCCAAGCTCCATAGCAGACATTGGCATTCACACTTGGTGTCTTACATTCTCTGACATTGAACAGACATATGACACCATGGTGGTCACCCATCAGCTCCAATTTTAACTGTGATAATGGTCTTCTCAGAAAATACATATTCTAAAAGTGGCTGCAACCACAAATCCCTCTCATCCACAATTTAAGAAAATTCCAAGTTTTCACACCTTCTCTAACATTTGGCATTCGTTATAATTTTTATTGAAACCGTGCTAATGAGTCTGAGGTGGTTTCTATGGTTGATTGATTTATACTTCATTCATTATTAAGGATATTATTAAGCATCTATTTCAGTGCCTTGTATATTTTCTTATGAGAAACATGTGTGTTTTCCAATATTGTGCTTATTTTAAAAGACTTGTATTTTTGAAATTTTACATTTAAAGAATATATTAATGAACTTGTGATACTAATTCTGATTCTATATGATTTGGAAACTGTTTTCTTCTGTGACTCATTCTTTCCTTCACTCAATGACAATTGATTCAATCTCAAAAATTTAATTTGATCAAATTCAATTTGTCTTTTTCTTCTCTGTCCTTAAAATATAATATCTAAGAAATTATTTTATCTCAAGATCAAACATTTTTACACTCATTTTTTATTCTAATAGTTTTATCAGGTTATTTCTTCCATGTAAATGTATGATTTATTTTGAGTTAATTTTGTATTGTAAATTAAGTGCCCAGATCACTTTATGCACATGGATACAGTGTTATTCCAGCATGCTTTTCTTGAAAAGACAATTGTTTGTCCACGAATTATCCTGACATTCCTGTGGAAAATAAATGATTAGATTCAAATGTTTATTTTTGAGTTTTAGTTTCATTCTATTTGAAATTCCTGCTCCATCCATATGGCTCTCAGAGTCTGACAGCACTCAGTTTGCCTCTATGCATTGCTTCTTTTTTTTTTATTTCACACTTTATGTTCATGAGTTCTTTACATCCTATTTCTGTGGTTTTAAAATCCCATAGTTTAAGACATGAAAGTGAAAGGGGGGTAGTGTAAGAATGCCTTCAAGGTCCTATTTCATTATTTGTGATCTCCCAGGGCCAGGAAAAGTGTAATAGAAAGAGGAACAGTCTTTCAACATTCTTTTTTCATAGAAGCACTGCTTGAAATAATTGCCTCCTTGGACAAAGAGCCAACTAAAGTACAGCTAATAGGAAGCTGAGATAGAGATTTTTGCAGATGAGGAGTCTAGAGGTGAACGGAAGATGGGTGAAGCAGGAGAAAGCATGAAAAAGAAAAAATGGGTTATGTACACGCACAAACTACCTAAGAAAAATGTGATCGTTAGGCTGCAAATATACTAATAAAATAAGAATAGAAGAAAAGAAAAAAAGAATGCAAATATTTTTCATAGTTAAAACAAAAAGATTATGGAATAAGTAGGATGTTTTTCTGCAAGCTTAAGAATTAGATGAGTGAATATAAAAGATCATAATTTGATTTTAAATGTTCATTTAAGGCTTTCATTTGGTGTATTTCTTGGAGGAATTTTTAAAGTTTATTCTATTATTGTGTAAGATAAACTTCATTTTAGAGGAGAGAGATTATTTGAATTAAAATGTAAATATTAATTTTCAAATGGCAAAATTTCAACTTTTGATAAGAATCTAAATA